AGATATGGAGACTCTGGTAAGAGTGCAGAGAAGAGCAACAAAGAGGATTAGAGGACTGGAGACTAAAACATACGAAGAACGGTTGCAGAAACCGGGCATGTTGAGTTTAAAGAAAAGAAGGACTAGGGGAGACATGATAGCAGTCTTCCAATATCTCAGGGACTGCCACAAAGAAGAGGCAGTCAAGGTGTTCTCCAAAGCACCCGAAGGCAGGACAGGAAGCAATGGGTGGAAACTAATCAAGGAGAGAAGCAACTTAGAACTGAGGAGAAATTTCCTGACAGTTAGAACAATTAATCAGTGGAACAGAAATTGTCTCCAGAAGTTGTGAATGCCCCAACACTGGAAGTCTTTAAGAAGATGTTGGATAGCCATTTGTTTGAAATAATAAAGGGTTTCCTGCCTAGGCAGGGGGTTGGACTAAAAGATCTCCAAGGTCCCGTCCAACTCTGCTGTTGTATTGTAAAAAGGATGCAAATGACCAGCTATCTGCAAGGAATATAAATCCTTCCATTCCCCACTATATCCTGTCAGAGCTGAAGAAGCTTCTTGGATGAGAAGCAAAACATCTTCAAAAGAAAAAAAAAAAACAAGAAAGTCCAGTTGCCTCTTGAAAGAGCACCATTGGGACAACCATGATCTGGATGACTGAGAATCTTTACAGAGATCCAGGCCATAGTTGTCCCAAAGGTGCTTTTTCAAATGATCAAAGCACCCGATCCCTGAACCGGTTGTTAAACCAATAAGATCCCACCACTGGTTGCAATGTCCCGGCGTCATATGATCACACCTACAACTTTTTCAGACAGCTTCTGACAAGCAAAATCAATAATGACCACATGATTCGCTTAACAACTGCATTGATTTGCTTATCAATCATGGGGAAAAAGCTAAAATGGGTGCGACTCACTTAACAACTTGCTTAACAATGGAAAATCTGGTTCCATTGGTGGTTGTAAGTCAAGGATGTACAGAGAATTTAAGAAATCAATGGCTCACAGCATAAGGGGAAATAAGGTGAGGTTTTGGGGAAATAACAATATATAATCTTAGTGTGGTAATAGTAAAAATGATAGGAATACTGATCAAATATTCTATTGTTTTCCCCAAGAGAATTAGATGGCCAAAGTCTTGATCTCAGTACCATTTTCCTTTAATATACTGGATTCTGCTTCCCTTTAACAGTGGCTAAAAAAGAAAACTGTTCACCTGGCCACTGTCAAATTTTTAAGTAGCTTGCTAATTGCCATGGCCTCATTTTCCCTCAGATCAGAATTATAACAGCAGTGACTACTGTTTTACAGCAGCCCTGCAGTGTAGGCCAGTAAAAGACCATCATTTTGTGAGCTATATTGAGCTTTCAGGGAAAGTGAGCGTTTGGGGTTTTGCACGGGTTCGGGCAATCCTCTAACTAGGATTCTGCCCAGTTCGGCGAACCCCCAAATGCCACCCCTGGTAAGTGCGGAGGTTCAGAGAAGGGGGGGAAATGGGCCTACCAGAGGTTCCGTCAGTCTGGAAACAGGCTTGTTTCTGGCCTCTGGAGGCCTCCGCAGGCTGGGGGGGAAGCAGTTTTCTCCTGCCAGAGGCTCAAGGAAAGCCTCTGGAGTCGGGAGAGGGCAAAAAATGCCCCCCCCCCCGCCGTGGTGCAGGAAGCCAAATAGGCCACGCCCACCATGGCCACACCCAGCCAGCAATTGGGCAGAGAACCAGTTGCCAAAATTTTTGAAGCCCACCCCTGGGAAAAGCCCTCAATACTTGGCTGTCTCTCCCCTTGTGTTTATCCTATTTCAGTTCTTTCTTTCTCAAAATCTAACCAGAGACTGGGAATTTGGTGAGTGCATATTGCCTGATTTTGTTGATGGTTCCTCCGCTTTACTTATTCCTTGCCTTCTTTTCTATTTTCAGCACGAGCTTTACATTCGAGCCTTCCAGAAACTGAGTGAATTTCCCCCAGTAAGTATCGTTGGAAAGAGAAATGTTTATTTTGGCCATTGTGAGGCTTGTATAAATTCTTTAGCTCACCAACCCCTTCATGAAGTTTCAGATTGTTCATTGACACACACCCCTCCAACATTTATTATGCGATATTAATAATTATTACTGTAATGAACAATCCACAATTGTTCTGTATTGCCAGTTCTGAAGAGACATTCGCCACGAGTTGATTATGCCTCTTTTGTTTAAATTTCCGGGGCCCTTATTGATCATTTTTATCTGCACTGTCCGTGGAATAATCAAGACAAATGTATTTCTCTAAAAATAGCCAAATTTTACTACATGATGTGTAAGTTTTGCCCACAAAATGGTTGCTAATAGTTTTTGTTGGTATGGCATAGTTTTGTACTGTTCATTTTATTGATTGTATTTGTATCGGTTCATGACCAAAATAAAATTCTGGCTGCCTACTTTAATTAATAGTACTTAATAATAGTAGTTCATAATAACTATTGATATTAACATTAACAGTAATATTGGATCCTTGGGGCCAATATTGTCCACTTTGGGGGATCCTGCTTTAGAGCCATGAGAAGCAACAATATATATTTCAAAATAGATTTTAAAAAAAATAAAAACAGATGCCCAAAGTTGCTTGGCAGTGATACGAGGAGCAAATAAATTGAATAAATAAAATAAATGACTTTGGTTAAAATGAATTGTCACTAGACTAAGTCATTCAGGAGCCCCAGTTCCCTTATTTAATGCTTTTCCTTCATCTTTTCTTCTGTGTTAAAAGATCAAAGACCAAGAATCAGAGACCCAGTACTGTAAACTGGTCCGACAGCTCCTAGATGATCACAAGGACGTTGTCACATTGCTGGCGGAAGGCTTGCGGGAATGTCGCAAACACATCCAGGTAACCGGTGAGGCTGATTGTCCAAGTGGGTGAGGCCGTTGTGCAGCAACCAAAGAACTCCGTGGGTTGAAGGCCTGTTAACATATTTTGAGAAGGATGGAGATAACATCACTGTGACTGTTGTCATGGTTTCAGGGGATTGTGAGGTCAACAGGTAGATTCTCCGTTATCAGTGAGGAGACCATTCTCCGTTCTCATGATGGGAAGGATGTTTGGAAGAAATTCTAAAAATCTTTGCCTCCCTCACGAAAACAGAGATGTAAAGAATAGAATAGAACTCGAATAGAATTAGAATAGAACGAGAACTAGAACCTTGGAGATCTTCTACTCCAGCCCTCTGCTCAAGCAGGAGACTCTATATCAGGGATGGAGAACCTTTTTTGCCTTGGGTGCCAAAAGCACACACACACGCACGATCGCGCATGCTCACATGCCCACCCCCATCCGTTCCCGAACTTTTGGTTTGCGCATTGTGCGGTTTTTCGCCCTCTGGAGGCTTCATGGAAGCCTCCGGAGGACGAAAAATGGCCGAAAATCAAGGCCGAAAATCAGCACGTGCTGGAACTGACAGGGCAATGCCTCACGTGCCCTCAGAAATGGCTCCGCATGCCACCTATGGCATGCATGCCATAGGTTCTCCCAGCCCTATACAATTTGAGACAAGTGACTGTCCAGTTTCTTTTTAAAAATCTCTAGTGATGAAGGACGATTTCTGAAGGCAAGCTATTCCACTGATTAATTGTCCTCACTGTTAGGAAGTTTCTCCTTAATTCCAGGTTGCTTCTGTCTTTGATTTATTTACTTCAAGAGGGAAACAAGTTGGATTGATGGGATTCTTGGAAGCCTATCCAATAAATTGGATTTTCTTCCCAGTAAAAGTTCACAAGAGATTTCCATGAGAATTGAAATCCCTTTCAGAGGGAGTTCTGATGAAGCCTGAGAAGAGATTAGAAGAATTACAGCAATCTTTTTCAAACCTTGGCAGCTTGACAATGGGTGGACTTCAACTCCCAGTTCACTTCTAGGAGTTGAAGTTCATCCATCATCAAGCTGCCGAGGTTGAGAAAGGTTGAGTTGGAGAGTTAGTTCGTGAGGAGAGACTATCCAGGCTTGCTCCATGTTATGAAACCTTCCCAATTTTACTCCTGTCACTATAATCATCTCAACCGTGGAGTGAATTTTGGGGAAATGGATAAGTATGGCGAAGGCAGCTGATTTTTGGATCTCACTTGCAGGGAAAATGTTTCAGTGCCACCTTGCACCCGTTTAAAAGCAAATAGCGATCAAGGGGAAGGATATTTGAAGAAAGCTGGGTGGGAAGAAAGGTTTTGCAGTTGTTTTGAATCTCAGGAGCTGTTTCCTTCCAGGATGAGAAGATGATCCGTTCCTTTCTGGACAAGACCCT